GAGGCATGGTGGGAGAGAGGGTGTGTTGGTGTAAAGAGAAAACAGGAAGGATGAAGAAAAAAAATTATTTCATGTCATATGTGATAATACTGCAAACAAATTTGGATTGTCTATTTCCATGGATCCCATGTTGACCCACATAAATGAATAGTGTAAATTGATTTGTATATGGTTAAGTCACTTAAACATTTAAGGGCTATTTGGCGAGTTGATATTTTAATTTAAAAGTCAAAAAACTTGTTCCCAAACAAACCTCAATAATTGCTTGTTGAAAGAAAATTTGAAATTTTCAAAATTTTTAAATCAAATACAAAAAAAAAATTAGGTGTCAAAAGAGATTTGAGGGGTAAAGAGAGTTTCCTTGGGCATCTTTGATATAAATAAATTATTTAAATAAGTTTTAATATACAAGAAATTATATCAAAGATGTCCAAGGAAACTATCTTTACCTCCAAATCTCTTTTGACACCTAATTCTTTTTGTATTTGATTTAAAAATTTTGAAAATTTCAAATTTTCTTTCAACAAGCAATTATTGAGGTTTGTTTGGGAACAAGTTTTTTGACTTTTAAATTAAAATATCAACTCGCCAAATAGCCCTTAAATGTTTAAGTGACTTAACCATATACAAATCAATTTACACTATTCATTTATGTGGGTCAACATGGGATCCATGGAAATAGACAATCCAAATTTGTTTGCAGTATTATCACATATGACATGAAATAATTTTTTTTCTTCATCCTTCCTGTTTTCTCTTTACACCAACACACCCTCTCTCCCACCATGCCTCCCGACAATACTACTCCTCTTCTTTTCTTCCACCTCTATCTGCTAGTCCTTAGCCACCCTCCACTGTCATTGCCAACTTGCTTCCCACTCTTCTTCGCCTTTGCAATCCTCTTCATTTCACTTTCATTTTATTTTGTTTATGATTTTTTTTTGTTTTGTTTTTTGCATATTTGTTATTAAAGAATAAAATTGTAATAACAATTCAATCTTGGTGAATATGGAAAAGAAATGATGTGTGTGCGTTCGGAAACAAATAATCGAATAAGTCACTTTTCCCCCACAACCTCCACGGAGACCATTGATGTATTTGAATTTTTTTTTATCTTTGACAGTGACGTAAATAGTCCAGATTATTTTGAAAGTTGTGAGAGTTGTGTTTTGTAAGAAACTCTATCATTAGTGTAGTTTTAGTACTATTAACACGTCATTCACTGCTATTTTGTTGGAATTGAATTGCCACATTTGAATTGATTTTAAAAAGTTTGTTTTAAATTTTTTTTTTCTAAAAAATTAAAAAGTAATTTGTTGAAAGAAATAAAAAAATAAAAAAATAACCATTTTTATATAATTTTATATTTTGAGAGGTCAGAAATAATTTTTACTTTTTTTAAAAAATTAATATTTATTTTTATCAAATTAGTTTTCATTTTTTCAAAAAAAATTCTGAAGTCTTTTTTCAAAAATACAAACCAAACATGGTAATTGTATTTTAAGCCCATCATGTCACTTTGAAGCATGACCTACAAGCCCAATATAGCATCAGATTCGAAGTCTGGGCCAGAGTTTTTAAGCCTCATATATATGAGGTCCACAATGGACAAGCGTGGGCTTTCATATCTCGGATGCTTCAAACCAGTTCAAGTCTTGAATTAGAGACCCATGTCTCAAAAATAAATAAATGTTTCCAACCCCCAAAAAGGGGGCAATTACCGGTCAGTCCTATCGACCAGACTTGTTTACTCATAAACCCACAATGAAAAACTCATGGACGTATAAATTCTGTGAATAAGAAATTTATCAGTGTAACTCAATTACTTTTCCTTATTTATATGTGTAATTGTGAACTTTATTTGTTAGATTAATAAATTTATCAATGTAGCTAAGAAATTTATATCATTCTAATAGTTGTTAATGGATTAGCATGATTTATGGATAAATAAATCTGATCGATAGGACTGGCCTATAACTACTTCTATATTTGGAATACTAAGAAAGATGCTAGTCTTCCGTTCACTAATTGGATGTGTAGTTCATGGGTTATGTGCCCGGGCCTATTTATGTGATCAATATAGTTTGTCTTTTACTATCTACTAATTAGATTATTCGTGTGAAAATCAAGTTGATTGAATATCTATAATCACATAATTTTATCATATTTATTATTATTTTTTTAAAAGACGGTCTACTCTCAAATTCATATATAGTGTTTTACTTTTAAAAGACAAATGTCATTTAATCATATGACCACCAATATTTAATTAACTTAATTATTTACATAAATAATTTACTTAAAAAATATTAGAAGATGAATGATTAAGATCACTAAATTGAGCCCTAAATGGACCCACAACCCATGAAGTAGACCCTCTAGTCCAATTGGTGGATTGGAGGAAAGTTAACCCCTTGAAGTAATTTCAAGAGATTTTCATCGTTAGCCTAAATATGACTCCGATAGTTAATTATTATTATTATTAATGTAAATTGAAAATAAAATTGAGAGACCAACCATAACTTTATTTTGATCATGACTCCCAAATGAGGACGGAATTCACTATTCAATTCCTCCAATATCACATGATTATTTGAAATAGAGATGGGTTAAAACTATTTATTCTATCTCGTGACAAATATTAAGTTTTGGTTTTATTTGAAAAATAAAATATGTAAAGGAGATGAGTGGTTAGGAAAACCTAAAATTATTGATGCAGTAAAATGAGATTAGAAGCCTGAAATTGTGAATTTTATTTATTTATTTATTTATTTATTTATTTATTTTTTTTGGGGGGGGACCAAGTTGAAAAACCAGAAAAAAAAAAGAAAAGAAAAAGTACCAAGTTGAAATTTGCTTTGGGGTCACATGTCCCCCAAGGTTGCTCACAAGTCCTCCATATCTTAATTTGCCCCAACACTTTGAATATGGGGTTGACATTGAAGCCACATGTAAAAAGGTGTTGCCCAAAATTTCTCAACAACTCTCTCTCTCTCTCTCTCAAGTTCAAAAACCGCATATTCTATCCTTCCAAACAAGTTAAAATGTGTGTTTTTATTGATAAGAAAAAGAAAACAAAAGAAAATTATTGTATGTTTCTAGGCATTGCTCCAATGCCCTCATAAGTGAATTTTTTCCCCTTGTTACTATTGGCAATGCCAAACATCAATCTTAATCCTTTTATTTGTGCAAGTCTCACGCCACACAAATAAAAGATTAAGATTACTTTGTGATATTGTTATATCAGTATCCTTTTACTCTTCATATAAATTAATATATGCATGGACTCCATATAAATGTGTGATTCTTGAGACTGTTGAAACTAATTGGGACAATGGAAAATGTTGAAACTATTAGGACAATAACTTAGGAAACAGAGATCATGGGAATAAATTGATTTTTCTATAAAAATGTGTGCTTCATGAAGTTATTGCGACAAGGTCATAAAAGCACTGAATATTTTCTTTTTAAAATAAAAGTAAAAATAAACCGTGTGTTTGATTTGAGTTTTCTGGATTAAGTTTTTTGAAATTGACTTTTTTGGTTTTCGTATTTTTTTGTTTTTAGTGAATATTTTTTAAATTTTAAATATATTTTTTTACTTTTTTAGATGCACATTATTTAGATATATCTAAAAAGTAAAAAAATTATGAAAAAATATTTTAACAAATTAATAAATACATAAAAATACAAAAAATGTACTGAATTTTTGTATTTTTTTTTTATATTTTTGGTATTTAGTGAATTTTTAAAAGATTTTTTTTTATAATTTTTTTACTTTTTAAGTGTATTTATATTAGGTGTGCCTAAAAAATAAAAAAATTGCTTAAAATATTAAAAAAATTTAATAAAAACAAAAAAATACGAAAAATAAGAAAGTAAAATTTTTTGAAAAATATTTTTAAAAAAAGTAAAAACAAGTAAGGTGAAAAGTATCATAAGAGAGATCATTGTTTGAAATCTGTCACACTGGACATTTATGAAGTGGGTGCAAGTTGAATAAGAGCAAAAATATAGCAGAAATCCACGATGAAATCATTGTACTCCTATCATTGAGAGTCTTTACGCAACAAGAAGACAAAATATATATATGCATATATATATTAATAAGAGTTCAGTTTGGACAGTTTAGTTAGACTTGTAAGGCCAATGCAATCGCACTTTGATAATTTAATTTATTCATTTTATGAGTTTTTATATGTAAGTGGTTTATAAAAATTTAGATTAATATGATAATTATGCTTATATTATTTCGTCATTTTTTTAAAAAAAAAAAGATAATAAATATGATTTTGAAAATAGTTTATCTATTTTTTTAAAACAAATATAATAATAAAATCATGTGATTATGATTAACAAATCAATCAATTTTTTTTAATGGATGATTTGTATGTAAAATCTATAAAATGAATGGTTCAAATCATCAAAGTAAAGCTCTTGATAGCTCCACAAGCGAACAATAGCAGATTGAAAAGAAGCATTTTGTGTGTGTGTGTAACATTTTATGGCCAGTTCAGTAATCAATTTTTGAATTTCTAGATATTTTCTTATGTAGCATTGTTAAATGTAAATATTATGTATGTTTTATTTATTTATTATTTTTTTAGTTTGGCAAAAGGAAATTATATTGATGTAAAACAAAGGCATAAGATGCTAAGAGATTGAATGAATTTTATCTTCTTTTTTTTTTTTTTGGAGAACAAAACTTAGCCATTTATTTATAGGAAAAATGCTAAGATTTCAATGATGATGATAGTCCAGAAAACTATACATAACTGAACTCACTCAACAAAATCGAGAATATATATACAAACGCCATTTTAACTTGCAGAATTTAAAGCAGTTATGCTATGAATCATGAAAAAAATATCATAAAGATGATCATGAAAGATTCTTTCTTTTTGAATTACATTTAGAATAAAATAACACATACTAATCAAAAATAAAAAATCTTCATAATATATTTCATGATATTTTTTTCATCATTCCTAATATTCCTAATATGAATCCATCCAAAGACATGATAAGAAATGAAGCCGTCGTCTTGACAATTCTGTTTTTAATGGGTCCACCAATATTTTATTAAAGACAAAATGCATAATATTGATGGTAACCCATAAAACTATAACTGAATTCAACATATAAAATAATAATAAAAAAAGAACAACACTAAACTATACCCACCAATTCCGACTCGCAGAAACCATACTTATCAACCACCAAGAACTCAAAAGAAAATATGACCCACCACCACTATGGTAGTTATTTTGCACCATCATTCATAGTTGACCCACCACCACCTCCGGTAGCATTATGTGTTCAAAAAATGAAAAAAAAAAATTAAAAATTCAGAAATCGTTACACATAATCTTTTTACATAAGATGAGTTTTTGTATTTTTAGTTTTTATAGTCTCACGCCCATATAAGAATATTATACTTGATTCTATAATTGATTTCTGCATAAGTAACAGAACAAATAAAATATATATATATATATATATATAAATAATACAAAACTCAATAAGTGCATTAAAAATTAGCATTCTGTGCATTTTTCTGTGCACGTAATTTTTTCTGCCACCTCCACCCTCCTTCATTCATGCCCATGCAAAGAGGCCATTGCCACCACTCCAAGCTTCTGAAGATTGAGCTTCACAACAGTGTCCACAAACATCTTAGTATCTTCACCAGTGTTCCCTTCTGGTATGTCAACAACATAAGACTCCAAAACAATAGTATAAACCTTCCCATCCTTATTAAACTCATTCACAGACGTAACTGATCTATAATTATTCAACCTATGCTCACCTCCAACAACCCTAAAGCTCAGAATATGCTTCTCATCATCCAAAATCTCCAATCTCTCGGTGCTTGTCGAAGCAGGGAGTCCCGAGACAACTGTGACTTCTCTTATGCTCCCAACACCTCCATCACCTGTCATGTTGCAGCTCTTGATGAAGTGTTTGTATTTTTGGGGACTGTCGAAACTTCGAACCAATGGCCACACGGCATCTGATGGTGCGTCTATGTGTTGTGTTATGAGGGAAGTGCAGGTGTTTGGTTTGGGCTCGAAGGTGTGGTAGGTTCGAATGAGGGAGTCAAGCTCGGAAAACTCTTCTGGGGTTAGGCCTTGAGGGACTTGGTTTCGGTCCATGGCAATAACACTAGGAAGTGTTTGACCTGAGATAGGGTCTTAGAGTTGTGGAAGGTATGGTTGAAGCATGAAGAAGAAGAGGAGGAGCTATGGAGTGTTGAGTTGGGTTTGTTTTAGTGTTGAAGAGATGGTGGACAATCAATCTCATATGAACACTTGGGAAGGGGGGGTATTTTATCAATGAAGTGTTGTCTTTCTTTTTGACAGATATGCCCTTGGCTTTCTAGTTTTTGGCCAACTTGTTTGTGGTTTGTTTGTTTTTTCTTTTTCTTTATAGCAAATTATACCATGGTGTGACTGGTTAATAAAATATTATACAGGAAAGTGCTGCATGTCACTTATTTTTTTCAACATTTTATATCACTAGAGTACTTGCTAAGATATTAACCAAAATAATTTGATTATAATTTAACATATAAAATTTCGCATAGGTTGGTATCCAAATATAAGTGGTACTCAAACATGATCACCGCAAAATTGAACTTATTTTAAAACACAATTATTTTGGTAAAATTTATAAGTGGCTAGTCATACACCAAAACCATGAGTATGAGATGTTGCTTTAATGAAGGTAAGAGGGGTTTAAGTGTGATTTATAATAGAAAGGGGATGTATTAGTAAATAGAACGAAAGACAAGGACAGAGGGGGTTAAAAAAAAGAAAGGAAAAGGACAAGTGGGCTAAAAACGAAGGGAGTATTCGTGGATCATGTGAGAAGTCTAACAAACTCACCGCGTGAAGGTCTTCAGAAAACTCTACTTTTGCAACTATGGATGATTCCCCACCACATACATGGCCCCACCATCCTTAACTGCTCACATCCACAAATATATATATACAATATATACATATATAACGGTGGATAAGTATCACTCGATCCGTTAAAATTGAATGATCTAAATTAATTCGTCACAAAATAAACAGTTTTAATAGATTGAGTAGGCAAATGTGAATGTATTTTTTTTAATCCATCTAAGTTCGAATAGATAGCGGATGGAAGGTCACTCGACCCAACCCGATCCACCAACACTTCTAAAAAAAAATGAAGTTTTGCTTTTATACTTTGTTTGTTATATTTGTTATTTGTGAAATATGAAAGTTGGATATTTTTGGACATAAACTAGTAAAGAATTATTGAAAAATAATTCCAAAAAAAAAAAAAAAACTCAAATAGTAAAACTCAACTACCAAATCAATCCGCATTCATCCGTCAATCAGCACAGTTTAGGCTATGTAAAATACCGCTCAATTCTTTAAAACCATCCAAATCTACACCGATGCATCCACTAATTGTAGATTAAACTTTGAAATTCATAATCCGCCTTCGAAACCGTTTCGCTCTACTATAATTAATACATATATTTTTTTAACTTCTAATGAAATATCAAAATAAAAATGAATGTGAGAGAGATTTAAGATGTAAAATTTGTTACCTGTGTGAGTAATTTTCTTACCACACTGCCCGCCTAGTAATCAGCTGGAGAATACCGGCAGAATAGATGGCTCCAGTAACCTGTAACAGAAAGAAAGGGCTCCGACGGTGGCTCCTTCACCCGGGGGCACTCCGACGATCAAGTCAATATATCTCTCAAAGATAATCAAGTGCTAAACTCACAAGCTTGAGTATAAAACTACGTACCTTAGACCCATGGGGGTGCCTCTCTTTTATAGTTAACTCAATCCAAGTCCTACTAGAAGCATGACTTTTATAGACTTCAATTTAGTGATTACTTAGGATTTCTCAAGAGATAAAGATAAACTTCCCTAAGAGCTTTATCCTTATCTTGGCTAAGTCCCCTCTTTGTCCTAGGACTCTTGTCCCTTATCCGCTTATCTCGGATTTCGATATCTTCGGAGACAACCTTGGCAACTCCGAGATCACCTCGGCGTAATTTCCATGACACGTGGTACCTCGGCCAAACACGTCGGCGTCGTCATGCCACGTGTTGGTACCCAAGAAATATATCCCCACAACTGCCCCCTAGGTTCTATTACCTCGGCATCCTGAGGTGATGGAACCTACATCGATATTTCTTTCTGCATAGTGGCTCAAAAACTGTTTGGCCAAAATAATTTATTTTTAAGCCGATGTGTTCTCTTCGGAGAATAAGAATTCAAATGTACTATATCACGCGCATGAGCGGTCATGCACATCTAACCGTTCCTTTCACGTGCTTTGTCTTTATTGGCCCGTGTCTGTGACGCGCCTACAAGCTGTCTTTTATTCGTCTGCGCCGTCTGACGTATCCGGTGCTCCAGGCGCAATAAATGCCCTGTTTTGCCACCGTTTTAAGTTTTTTACAAACCTTTTCTTTCCCTTTTCTTTTCTTCACTTTTTGCATTCTGATTTCTTGTTTTCTCTCTCTCTAAAAGCTCTAGCATTCTTTGAATCCGCCATTGTTCTAAGTTTCAAATTCTGTGATCATCCTTACTTTTCCATTTCCGCGAAGCTTTCGCTACTGTTACAACTGTCGTATGGTCTCGGCGAATATTGCTTCGGCTTCAGTTTATCCGGTAAGCAACTGGCCCCCTTACCCTCTTTTTCTAATTCTTGATTGTTTCTAAAGTTTCTTGCCATTGCTGTTCTGTTTAAGTGTTATTCGTGAATCATTCACCTGAATGCGTCTTATTTCATGATTTTATGAACACTTGCACTGTTTCACTACTGTTCTTGGCCCTTAACCCTTTGTATTCTTCGTGTTCTTGATAGCCCATCCCTGTTCTTGTCTCTGAAATTTCGCTTTTATTCTCTGTTTTTTGTTTTTTTACCAGATCTGTGCCCCCGATCTTCATCTTTATAATTTTAGGTTTGGGATTTGTTTGTAGAACCTTCAATTTTTAGAAAAAACTGAAACAAACTTTACCAGCCCTTTCCCAGGTTTTGAAACCGAGGTTCTAGCAACCTTTTTGAAACACCTATTTTCTGAAACACAGCTTTCTGAACTTAGACCGACGTTATGGGTATGTGGAGACATCGAGTAAATTCCCCAACAAAACTTGAATACTTTAGGCAGGAGTTCTCCATCCTAGCCGATGTTCACCTTAGGCTTGCTGGGGATGGTGATTCTATCATGCCCACAGATCATACGATGCCCTTTCCTATTGTAGCCTTTACTGAATGTGGACTCCGGCTTCCACTCAATCCCCTCTTTCGCGAGGTTCTCCACTTCTATAGGTTGAACCCTATGCAACTTACCATCAACTCTTATCGAGTGATTAATGGTATCATAGCCCTGGCTAGGCAAGAGAACGTTTGGATCACCCTTGCCGATATCCAATTTTGTTATACCATGTGCCCCCTTAACTTGAAGGAAAGAGGTTATGTCTACTACCTCAAGCCGAGGTCTACCGAGTTCAAAATTGTAGCCGACCTCCCGGATTCCAACAAGGGAGCCGGGGATGACTTTGTCATTGCTTCGGGAAATTGGGAATTTGGCCCAGACGAAGATGTTCACCTCTACCCTCTTCCTCGAACAGTTAAAGAGGGCAAGGGTAAGAGCCCAGTGCCAATACTTAGTTATTCATTTTCCAAGTCTTCAAAACTTTGTCTGTTTCTAATGACTGTTTGCTTGTCCTGTAGATCTTCATCAACCACCAAAAAACTTTCGCCAATCGTTCTTTCCAGGAAAAGATTTAAAGAAGCTCCTTGACCTTCCAATCCACAAGCGCAAGGCTCCCCTGCTACTAAATTTTATCCCGACATACAAATCCACACTGCCCGACGTCCCAAAAAGGAAGAAAAAGATTCTTTCTCCACCTTCTGCTACAACTCCTTCCATTGCTTCCATACCACGAGCAGACGAAGGATCCACTTCTGACCCAGTCGATCTGCCATCTTCTTCAGCCCCATACTTGATCCCAATACCAGAAAGAAAACGTCGGCGCCGTCTTATCAAACTGCCGAAATGGGTCGCGCAAAGCCAATTGCTCAAAATCTCTTAGCCGACCTTCCGACTGATGCTGATGTTGTACCGAACCAACCAATGCCCCCACCGAAGCCAAAAAGAATCAAGAAGGCCCAGCCTAAGGCCAAGGCTGTTGAGGCTGAAGATAGTTTGCCTATCTTAAAACTGGCTGAGAGTAAGAAGACTTCTTCTGCTCCTGCGAAAAGGTCTGCCGAGACCCAGCCCTCCGAGTCTACCCAATCAAAGAAGCCGAGGTCCTCCTCTGCAACGACTTCAAAATCCAAGGTGCCAAACGTCCCTTGGACGCCTGAGATTACCCTGGAGGACAAGCTGGTCATGGCTACTGACAGCGCCGACGACATTAATGTCGGCGTTGCCCTTAGTACAGCTCTTCTTCTCCCAGGTGATTTGGAAAAGAATGCTGGAATGAGTGAGTATGAAAATTATGCTTTCATGCTTCAACACTGTGTTTAAGTAAGTGTCTTCACTTGGTGACCTGTCTTTTCCTTATTTGTTTATAAAGCTTCTGTAATAACTTCTTGCTTTTGTGTTCTTTCAGGCTGTTCAGCATGCCCACTCCTTCTCCATGCAATCTTTTGAGAACAGGGAGAAGTTAACTGACTTGCAGAAGGAGTATTCTGCACTCCAGAAGATCAACAAGGGTCTTCAAGCAAAAATGAAGAAATTGGAAGACCAGGCCGAGGCTGCCACTAAAGCCCAAACTTTGGCCGAAGAAAAGGCCGAGGTTGATGAAGCTATAAAGAAAGTTACCGAAGCACAGAAAAATGAGGCCGAGGACAAGGCCACCCAAGCCGAGAAGGAGCTTCAGGAGGCCTTGGCCACGAAAAAAGCTGAAATCAAAGAAGCTGATGAAAAGGCTTATGCGCAGGGCATGGCCGACGTCGCTGAGGAGTACAAGCTTCAAGTCAGGGAAGCATGCAACAGAGGATTTTCCCTTGGTTGGATGTCTCTGCTAAAAAGACTTGACCTCCCTGCTGACTCGCCTTTCCGTAATGTCGACGCTATTCCTCTCCCATTTCCACCAAGCCAAGCTGAAGAAGAATTTGGGTCGGAGCCTGAGGATGAAGATGATCAGAATGCTGAGGCCTTGATGAAGAAACCCAAGGGTGATGCTGGGGTCAAGTCTCCTTCTCAAATTGAGCCCATCCTGGACTTAACTTTGGATGAAGAGGGTGATGAGGTCGGGGAGGCGCCTAGGGAAGCTGTTACAGGGGTATTATCGTCCGACCTCCT